AAAAAAGTTTACGCACAGGGGTTAATCTATGTCTTGGAAGCAGAGCCTTCGTGCTTCCGTGATAATGCTTCTAAATAGCTGGCCAATAAGTGCCTTCAAGATGAGTGCTGATTGGTGGGATTTGATGCAGTCTGTAGAACTTTTTAGTTACATCTCAGATCCATGTAATGACACCTAATTTCTTAAACCAAAAAGATCTCTCGCCATGTCTAATTTAAGATGACACCAGCATTAATCTGACAATGCAATGCCTTCCATCGCACAACGCATGCTACATATTATCCTGTGACTTTTTCTTATTGCCAGAGATGGTGAGAGTAAAAGGATACATCCTGTTTTGAGACCCAGCTAGCTAAAGACTGTTTAAAACAGCTAATAATCCCAATCCACACCATCTACACATTACCAGTCCCTGAGTTATAGTAAGCTGGATTAAAACATCTGGAACACCATCCTTCTGGGACTGACCAGTGAGAGATAAGCTGATGCAGTAACTCTGCCTCCTGAACCCAAACACTCTTGCGTGGGTTATTTTAGCACAGCCCTTGATTTCTGTTAGTGCGGGGAAATCCATAAGTGCCAAGAAGATAGCAGAAATCGTGTAGCGTGCAACTGCAACCAGGCTTGCATTTAGTCGGTGGTACATGGTTGGCTGTTGCAGCTGGCTGTTAGCAAAGCATTACATAGCCAGCGAGCCACTGACCTAATTCCACAAATCTGCTGGCCTAAATCACAGGGACTCTCCAAATAAATGAGAGCAGTCCTGAGAGCAGCAGGGTTTAGCCACAGCACAGAGGTGTAGATGACACACAGGGATAGTAATGCACTGCATGCTGGGTGGGCACTTTATCCTATCGCTTATCATATAGTTTCACAGTCCAAAACTAGAAAGTGTTGGTTTTAGAGTAATCTTGGGGGTCAAAATATATCTGGCTTTTCTCACATTGTTTGTAATTCCACTACCAATGCAGAATGCAGTGGAAAATATATCTATGAAGTGTGAGATTATGTTTTTATTTTCCCTTATATCTGATCAACAGTGGTTAAAAACTGTGGCAGATCTCTTGTCCGGTCTATTGATCTGTATGTCCCCCAGAGTATTAGCAGCAGATCAGATTTCAATTAGTCATCAGATCTGCTGTGACGCTAATCTTGCTCAGAGCACGCCGGGCACACAGTGTCGGCATGGTTCTTGACAATGATGAGAATACAGGAGAGACCACATTAAAGTCCTGTGTGTTTCATTTACACAGAATGAGGATTACATGAGGAAACAAAGTATGAACGTGTGGTCTAGATAAGACCAGCCAGAGATCATTAGCAAAATATAATGAGAAGACTCGTGAGTGAAAAAGAAGCCTCAACAAGTAAGGAAAAGTTTCTAATGTACAGAAATGGATGGTGGCTAACGGTGTAAGGAGAGGTTCAGCTTAGTAAGCACATCTGCCTGACTGACCTTTCTCGCTGACACTTTCCATGTCCACGTCCTCACAGCTGGTGTACTCGGGCGTGGAGCCGCCCTCCTCCTCTGAGCTGCTGATGGACATCTGCCTCTTGTTGACTCCGCGCTTGCCCTTGTATGACTGTGGAGGGGGTGGCCGCAAAGACTCCGACTGGTCCGAGCCCTGAGAGTCCTTCCTCAGCAGGTTATCCACCCCACCCTTCTCTCTTGATGTCCGCGTTCCGTCTTGGGGTCCATGATCCAGGCGACTGTTGTTTGGACCCCAGTCTGAAGGCACAGGTCCCCCGAATTGGGACCCTGATCTTCCCCCTCCACTGGCAGGGGGAGCCCCACCTACAACCCCCACGGTCCTATCTGCGGAGTAAGCCCTGTGATTCTCCATGAGGGCCTTGCGGTCTCCTTCCCCACCTCCACCCCTCCTGGCAAGACGGTTTTCCGGCACCTCTCCTGTGCTGCCTCCACCCCCACCCCCTTCACCAGGCCCCAGTCCGACCTCATTTATTGCAAGATCACTGTGTCGTCGCTCATGCCGCACCTTCGACACCTTGGCGTGCATGCGCATCTCCTGCTCCTCCTTCTGTGGTTTGACTGGGTATCTTGCCAAGTTGGGGTCACTGCGATAGCGGTTCTGAAACTCCTCCTCACGCCGCTGCCGTTCCCTCTTCTCCTCATCCTCTGGACGCCTGCGGTGTGTTTCTGAACGACCCAGGTTTTCATCCCCGTCCTCGTAGTCCTGAGAGTGGATCTTTTCCAGCCGCCTTCCATCTCCTAACCGTCTCTCTCCTCTGTCTCCGGGACCCACCCGCTCATCCAGAGATGACTGTGAATGCAACTTGTCTGCTGGTCTCCGGGCAGAACCACGTCCCATGCCTCCCTTACCGTTTTGCTCATGGAAAGAAACTGGCCTTTTCCTAAATGAGAAAAGAAATTAGGTTATTTTATAAAAGCAAATACAAACACAGGAGCATTCTTTGCATGCTTTTTGACAGAAATATTTTGTGCTTTTTATATATTCTTCCTTTTTTATTTTCAAAATCTTCTTAGTTCAGTCACGAAGGGCTATCAACAGATTAAAAAACTACTAACCAGGATGAGACAGCTATGAATTCTTACCTAACACACCCAAAGAATTAAAACAAAGGGATTGAGTCAAAGACCTCTCAAGACCTGCCTGTGACCTACCTTCTTCTCTAGTTAAGCTACTGCAGACTCAGAGCTACATAGCGGATTAAAAAACACAACAAGGGCTTCAGCAAATTAATATACCATGAAAACTGAATCCTGCAGTACTGCTAGCTTTCACCAATTCCTATGTTAAAAATGAAAAGAGCAAAGGTTGTAAATAAAGAGAAATCTCACTTTTCTCTTGGGGGTTCACTTTGAGAGCGAGAGCCAGGCATGGTGTCAGCACCCTTGAGAGCAGTGACACCGCCGGGCGGATGTGTCCCGTCTGGTGGCCCTGTGTTGGCGTTGGTGCTGGACGGTGGGGCTTGGGACCTGGAGCGGAGTAGCTTCCTGTCCCGTTGGGCCTCACCTCCCGTGGCTGGATTGTTTAAAGAGGTGCCCAGGCTCCCGGGCCGCACCCCTGACCCCGAAAACCATTCTCCTGATTTGGTGAGAATCTCCTGTTGCTTACGGCACTGGTTGCATACCCACATTACCTGGAAAGGTCGAAAGGGAAGAAGATTTTGGCAAACTCATTTCAAGTCACCTCTGAACATCCACCAGGTCACCAGCAACACATCTGGGCTTAGCACGGAAATGTTTTTTTTTTTTAGTTTGACGGAATGGCAACATGCTTAAAAGGTACATTTTCAGAAACTTTCTTAGCATCTAACTTTCCATAATTCCATAAAAATAGGTGGATTCTAACTTTATCCAAACCCTACCCCTAACTCCAGATGGGTTGTGGGTGACCTGCTTGATGTCAGGAGGCCAAATCTGCAGCATTAAAACATCTGTACAACGCAGGTGAACTTTAATGTGCTTTTAACTTTGCTGGAGCAGAATCAGTTTTTCATAGACATTAAGAGTCTTGCTTGTGTATCAACAAACACCCAACTCTAATATAAAAAAATGCCAGTCCCATACTTGCTTCTTTCCATCCTTTGCAAAAACAAATAAAATATTAAAGAGCACCATGATGTGATAAACTCTGCTGTTTGATCTATTTTCTGTAAACACAGCTTGTTGGAGGCTGTGGTCAGACGGTCCCGTAAGAGATCATGCTTTCCTCTAAAACAGCTCTAATTTTATCGATAATATTTTTATGATTTGAATTTAGAAGCATACCTCAGTTTGCTGATTAATTTAAAAGCAAGAACTGAAAGGGGGAAAAAAACAGACTAGCGGGCTTCAGCGGCTCCACGTGGACATCATGATCTCATCTACAGAACTGTTACACCTTCATGGGTACTGCAGCGTTCTTCTTTATTAAGATGCATATTTTTCTGGATTGAAGAAGATAATATAACAAAAGATCTAATATAGGAGTTATAAGGCCAGACAATAATAGAGATACAGAGCACATAGAACTGTGATTTCTAACTGTGTCACATGAAAGTTCAAACATTTTTGCTCCATGAGGCCATCATTCTTACAACTGTTAAAACCAGCTACAAATTAAGAGTGACGATTACACCGATTTAAGATAAAAATGATTAAATCCCAGTCTTTATCATCTAAATCAAACCCACAGACAACATCAAATACTCACATGTAGCCATGGCTACAGAATATCACCTCACTTCAACAGCACGAAAAAAAACAGGATTTATCTCCCTCCGTATTTATAATCCCGCCGGTTTATTTTGCGAAGAATAAATCCACCGCAGAGAGGAAACACAGTGGTCCTTTGTATTACGTCGCAGAGCCTTGGCACAAAGTGAAAACAAAACACCTCTGGGACCTTTGGAAAGCCCCAAAATGTTACCCCTCCTTGACAGGCAGTGAGGTGTGCTGTTAGCAGTCAGTTTAGCAGTTAGCTCTCAGTGAGCCAAAGCACATTCATCATGGCCTGATTGAATCCTAGTTGGCGCATGTCCAGACTAATCTAAAGTAAATCAGCTGCCCGCACGGCCCACAGCTGTCGGGCAGCCGCCCAGCAACACACTACAGTCTCTTTCTCTCTGTGTCTTTCTCCACCTCCGCGGAGGGGCATCAGATTAGCAGTGCCCAGTAATCCCATCACCCTTATACAACTCATCATCAGCTGACAATGCCAGCTCACAATTCAAAGCTTTTAACCTATAGTGCACCATGCCTCCCCTCCTTAATGTGCATGATGTGTAACATTTAACCCAACAAACATCTGCCAAATGGCCAAATCTTATTATTTTGATACCAAATGTTAAACCAACTTTTAATTGTGATGGGACTGTGGCAACCTTTCTTCAGATCACCTACATCCCAGCGTTTTTTGGTAAGGCGCCAACTGTAATCTTTACTTTCTTCAACCAGAAATGAGCTGAAGTGCTTAAACTTACTCTGCACATGCCGGGTGAGATCGTCCCCGTCTGGGGAGCTGGATCATTTCACTGTGTTAGAAGTTTTGAACAAAAGTTAAACAAAACAACTGATGGTTTCTAAAAAATCCGATGCCAACCTGCAGGACTGTTCTGGTAGATGTTTAGGTCTCTGAATAGAAACATCAGTGACTTCATCAAAAAATGCAAAAACGATGTTGGTCCATCTTAAAAAAATAAAAACCAAAAGCCATGGATGTGTCAGGATCCGAATGAGTGGATCTGGTATTTTCACATTGCCGTCCTGTTTGTCTGGGCGCAGCCCTGGTTTCTCACCTGCCCTACTCACCAGCGAGGCTATATTTAAGACCAGCGCAGCCATCTATTCTCCGGCCAGTTCATCAGCTACCTCATGGTGGTAACCAGGCCTCATTGTTTCTTGTTTTTGTGTTCATGCTCTGTAATTTCCTTGTGTCTCCAATTTCCTTGTCAAGTCCCCGCTTCACTCTCCTGCAGCTCAATTACCTGGACCCTGGTCTCCTTGAAGAGTCTCCACACCCCGCCTTCGTTCCTTGGTATTCCCAATTTCTACCAATATTTCATTCTGAATTACAGCCAGGTAGCCGCACCGCTAACTCACCTCACCTCCACCTTTTGTTACGCTAAAACAGTTGTTCACCTTTGCGCCCATTTCAGTCTACCCTGACACCTCACAGCCATTCAGTAAAGCGGTAGATCAGATTCTAAAGTTGGGGGTCATACTGTCAACATTCGGGGCCCCAAGGTAAGCTCTAACCCTGTGCCTTCTTGCATTGCCTTACTCCTATGATGTGAAATTATAATGTGGGTGACCAGGAGCTGTTAGCAGTCAATTGGCCCTAGAAGAATGGCGGGACCTGCTTGAAGGAACTGAGCAACCTTTCACTGTTTGGACAGACCACAAAAATGTAACCTATCTAAGAACTGCTAAAAGACTTAACATCTGCCAAGCCCGTTAGTCTCTGCTCTTTGGTCACTTTAATTTCTCAGTCTCATATTGTCCAGGTTCCAGGAATATCAAGCCTGATGCCTTGTCCTGCCAGTTCCCCCTGTTGGGGAAACCTGCAGTCAGCTGAGACTGAAGAAGTCACTTGGATGAGTGACGAAACGTTTCTCCAACTGAAAATGTCCAGATGAACAGAATCAACCTTTTGAGATTTCCTTACCTGGATGATTGAGCATGCATGAAGACAATGATTGTTATGATTGCTCCAACCACTGATACCCTCTCACAGATCATGGTCATCCATTCCACTAGATTTTGTCACCAGTTTACCTGCATCTTCCTGGAAAACCGTTATTCGTTCCATAATAGACAGATTTTCCAAATAAGCTCATTTGATTGCTCTAGATAAACTGCCTTTTGCCTAAGAGACTGCCAAGCTTCCTGTTGATCATGTTTTTTAGACTCCACAGTATTCCTATGAAGATTCACAGGTTTGGAAAGCTTTCTGCTCTGCACTGCCATGGTCAGCCTCCATTTTCTGAGTACCATCCTCTGGAATCAACTCTCTGCTGCATCACTACACAAAACCAAGCAACCTGGTCTTCACATCTTCCTTGAGTAGAGTACGCACAGAACTCACTTACCTCATCTGCAACTGGTCTTTTGCCCTTTGAAGCCTCCCTAGGTTACTGACCTCTCCTGTTCCCATAAGTCGAGACTGACCTCGCGGTTTAATCTGGTCCAAGTCCAACGCATCTGGACTTGGACCAGGGAGGATCGTCAGTGCCGCTACACAGAACGATTAAGATCTAATGCCTGCTCCCAGGTATGAGCCAAAACAAAAGGTATGGCTCACCGCTATGACATTCCTCTGAAATCGCTTTCCCGTGAACTTGCTCCACGTTGCATCACTAAATATAAGAGATTGAATGTGTCCTCATTCCTGCGGCAGTTAGTTCTCGGACGCTCACTTGGTTGCCTTACCCAGAGTCTCACGACATCCACCTGTAAGTAAGCCCGCAGAATCAATATTCCGCTCTCCTCCTTGCATTAACTCCTCATTCTCAGAACTACAGACGCCCTCTTTCCCAGTGCCTCCATGTCAGAGACTCTGCACTACGTACCCTCGTCGTGTCATTTCTAATCTCTGTGTTCGCAATAAAGTTTACTAATATCTTATGGCTTTTCCGTTTGGTGTCTGCATTTGGGTCCACTCCCATGTACTGGCCTCAGGCCCCCCTTGACAGGATGATCCATGACAAAGTCTCTGTGCATGGACCCCAGCCTTGACATCCGATCACCTGAAGACTTCAACGTGCACGCTAGACAGTCAAACAGGTGAAGACAGAATATAGACTTTTATTGGACCCCCTATCATGGCTCTCACATCCTGCCTCCATCGTTCTGTCTCCCTTGACAGTTGGAGCTTCTACATCAGTAATGCAGACCAGGACTGCCCTTACAATAATGGGCTAGGCCTTCTCCAGCTCATAAGAGTCGACTAACATTGAGATGGATGCACTACACGGCTGTGTTCTCAGCCCCTTCCACTTCCTCCATTCATTCTACATCATGACTGCTAAGCGCAAAAAGCCACAAACATCATTGTAAAGTCTGACACAGCAAAAACTGTTACTGTTAACATCACAAACGACAAACACAGATAAAAATGTCCCTGGATTGAGAGACTCAGTTCGTCCTGTTGTGGAGAGAGTTGGTTTTTTATCCTCAGTGGAGGTATACAGTCTTGCTTTTATTTTTGATTTCATTTTTCTTTTTTGAAAACACATTATTATTATTTTATAACCTAATGCATACCACAGTAAAATTTCAGTAAATCATGAAGGCATTAAAAAAAATAGATACCACCCAACCCCAATCAGGACAGAGCATTTTCAGCACTTATATTGAGCTTCATTCAGCACCATCTGCAGTGTGCGTTGCTTTGCAAGTTGTTGCCACTTTCATCCCCAAGCTTTATCCTGAAATTAGATCATCATACAGAAGACGTGTGTCAGTGTGCTCTGGATCCAGAGAGAGACATTTATCAAAGCACACCTCTGTGTATGCTTCAAACCTTGCACCATGGATGGGGGAGGGTAGTAAACAATAAAGAATTTATAGGAACACACGCACAAACAAACACACACACAAACACACACAAAGGGGATGTAATACATTTAATCCTTTACTGGAGTGATTGCACTCTGTG